GATTTTCCTTACTGAGGAGTTGGCAACACTGGTCTAAACTGAACGTGAAAAGACAATTTTATTACCATTAATACAAAACAGCAACAAATGGAAAGAAAGGGTTCAATGATCTGCAAAACAATTAACTGCAGAGTTTTTATTAGAGCCTCTACTAAAATATATTTTCCCAGATGATAGTGTAAAAGTGAGTTTTATATGAAAGGCAAATCTACAGAAGATGAAGAGCAGAAATCTGGTGAAAATGTTAAATTAGAGGTAATAATAGGAGAAATTCAGTCATAGATAGTGACGAGGAACAAAGTGAAGACGACACTGAAAGCAAAGCAAAAGTTACCTGTTATCTTAGCGATCACATGTAGCAGATGACAGGCCTGAAAAATATGTGAAAATGGAATCACTCAAAGAAAAAGTATGTCACCTAAAACAGACGTGAAGAAGATAAACGAGCCCTGAAAGAAGATCAAAATGCTAATAAAGCTAACAGAAAGAAGCGAACGCATCACAGGAGATGTGACGTATAGTTATGATAACACCAAGCTAACTGGTGACGCTACAGTTTATGTAAGCAGGAAGTCCCGCACGCTAGACGCATGTCTCCTCAAGAACTTCAAGCCATCGCCAGAAAGAAGGGAGAAGCTCGAATGGTTCACTCCATCACAGACAAATGGATTTAACACTGGAAATAGAAGAGATAGAAAAGAAACTCTTCCTTCAGGAAATTTCCAGAGGTAATAGGGAAAAAAGAAGCACTCTTGATATGAGAGCCAGTCATTGTTTTGATTCTTAAAAGACTTCATAACTCCTCGTCTTCATCATATTAGCCATTTCATCTGTGCACAAACTGCTCGTCATGCTGTTTGCTTTCTTATCACTACAGTTAAATCACAAAAGGTTTCTACTGAAAGCTGTTTCAGTTACTTCTAGTTCTGTATTTGTTGTGAATATTTCTTTATCAATAGTTTTGGACAGTGAGGTCAAATGTCCAGCTGTCATATGAAACTCAGTCATCCAGCTTTCTGTGCCGTGTCACGTGGTTTTAGTCTTTAAATGGTCTCATGCTTCCCACATCGGTCTTTGTGAGGCGCTAATTGTCTTGTGATTTCATTTTCAAGTTGTTGTAAAGGAGAAGGAGTTGGTGCCAGAAATCAAAGAATCACTGGTAAAGCCAGCTGCTCCACCAAAAGGTACCCGGCCACTTCTTTAAACCTCTTTCTGTGTTTCTGTGGAGGGTTTATTAAGGCATTCAGAAAAGAGTGCCACTCTTACGCAGATATAAATCTTTGACCTTGAAACAAAATAGACAAAAACAAGGTGTTTAGAGAAAAAATGCAACGTGAACTTCTGGTTCTCTTTTTGTAGGACGATGTAGATTAGATAGAGCACTGTTGCTGAAATCCCTGTATACTTTTTACTTTAAGAGAGCAAACCACAAGCTGCTGTTAAAGATCAAGAAGCTGCCAAAAAGCCTGAAGTCACTGATACTGCCAAGTTAAAAAAGCCAATCACTCCACCAGAAGAAAAGCCAGGTATTCAGACAGTGATTCCAGCTTTTAGAAATGTTACGTGCTTTGGTGATTATACATCAATTCTGTCTTTTTTATACTTAAAGTGGTCGCGACAAAGCCCGTTAAGACGGCTGAAGAACCAACTAAGATGATTGCAGAGGAGGAAAAACCAGTAACAAAAAAGATATCACCTGGAACAGGTAGAGGACTGAGTTTAGTCTGTTCCAGTTTCTTTTTTTAAACTTCTTGTTTGATAACAGCAATTTTATTTATCCTCCACTGTGTATGTGTACTGGTGTTGCTATGGGTCTTTCTTATGTTGGAGGATAGGAGCCTTAGCCAAAGTAAAGCCTGTTTGTGTCTGTTGGTGATGAATTTATTGATCTTGAACTCAACATAAGCTACTGTGTCCTTGTCCTCAGCCTAACTTCATTTTATTCCTTGTGTTTACTCACGGTGTTTCTTTTCTGTTGCTCTTCATCTAAATGATAGCACAGTGAACTTCTTTGCTCTGCACGTGAGTCACATCTTTGCTTGTGTCTCCTGCACATTAAGTTATAACTTTTTGAACTATGTTTTGATATTAGATGAATCCAAGGGGCCAGTCCAAGCACCAGGAGGAGTCAAGAAAGGTAGGAGTGCACTCAGTGTAGCTACTAGCATGTATGGAGTAAATATGTCTCAAAAGGGTTACAAATGGTGTGATCCACAAGCTTACACTTAAATGTATAAATGTGTACAATTATTTGTGTGTAAACTTTTAGGACTCACAAGCGTGTGCTTCAGTCCACACACGTACAAACTAATTTGAACACACGTCAGGCTGTTTTACAAATTCAAACACACAAGCCTGGATAAATGTAATGATCTGCATGCAGTTTATTGAGTTCAGCTTCATAAATAGGAGTGCACGAATCGCCTGATGTGCACAGATCACGCCGCATGCCTCTGTGGGCTGCCAGCTTCACATGGATCCACAAACACAAGTGGTGTCAACGTGCTGGTGTAAAACAGGGACATCTGGTTTCTCTATAGTCCTTTTTGTCCTTTTTTTTCAAATGAAGTGGTCATTTTTCTTCTAAATAAACAGAACAACTTGTCACCCCTCTGCTACTAAACATAGATTACAGATAACACAGCGTAGCCTGTAAATATTAATAGTTTAAATAAGCTGCTGCTACATGCTGCAGATGGGGGGACATCATGGTTGTGCATCACTGTGGATCATTCTCTGGAGTGAGTATGTGCTAAATAATCTCTGTATATTCTGAATATTCATATAATCCAGGTATTGTGGAATAACACTTTTATGTTAATCCTCTGTTAATCTCTAATAACAGTAGGCTAGCGTTAATGTTAGCTTAATGACTAATTCTTAACCTTTCCGGATGTAGCAGCAGCTTATTTAAATTATATATTACCTTTTATAGGTTAATGCGTTGTGTCTGTAATTGGTGATGAGTTGTTCTGTTTATTTAGAAAAGAAACACCCACTTCAGGTAATACAGAGGAAACCCAGACGTCCCAGTTTTGCACTGGGACGTCCCAGTTTTGCACTAAACTGGGCTGAACGATCTGTGAGAAGCTGGCAGCCTGAAATTTGTCTCAAAATCTCCCGTGGGCATGCAACATGATCTTTGCGTATCAGGCGATTTATGCACTCAAATTTAAGGTTTGGTAAGTGCGCAAGTGAGAGGATATGTGTAGTTTTAGATGTTTGTGTGCACAGAGAGCTTTTGAAAGAGAAGATAATCCAATTCGTGAAACAAAACGTAATCACTCGTGCGTAAATGATCAGTATTTATTCAGGTTTGGGTACAGGCATTTGTAAACTAGTTTGAGGTGTGGTCAAATTGCTTTGCATTTGTGGATTGAAGCATGCTCGCATGAGGTCTCAAAAGTTAGCATTTGTAGCCTTTTTTGAAACCTGTCTCCAAATGCACGTATATAACCATGCATGCATATCTCCTATATCTGTAACTTCTCAGTCATCAGTCCAACACTGGTTTTTTTTGCTGATCGCTAATTTGCAAATTTCCTATTAGCTCTACTAAATGCACCATTAAACTTTCTGTCCTTTGTTGGAGAAACTGGAAATGTCCCTGTCATCTTTTGTTTGTTGTTCTTAAATCATTCAAAGTTATCTTCGTAAAATCCCTGATTACATTTTTATCCCTTGTATATTTATATTTATTTATTTATGCTCTTTTTCACGAGTTGCTATTTGCTTTGTTTGTACAAATTGTGATACGAGTTTAGTTTACTGACACTAAACTGTATTATACATACAGCCGATGTTTAACCAAGTAATATGAAACGTTTGATGCCTCAGAAACAGTTCTACACAAAAAAGGTCAAAAGGTCAAATTGGAAGAGGAAGGGACGTTTGAGATCCCCACGTTGAGAAAGACAACCAGGGTCATGAGAGAGGTGGAAGAAGAACAAGAGATCATCATATTGAAGAAGATCCCATCAGTTCCACACAAAGAGCCTGAACAAGAGGAATTACCTCTCGTCACCAGGACCACAGTTGTTAATGTTGAGGAGATGGTGCATAAAGAAGAAGCTGCTGAGATTATGTTTGTCACCACGAGATATGAGGAGGAGAAGAAGCTAAAAGACAAAGCAGATGTGGTGAAAAAGCCAAAAGTTATTCAACCTAAAGAAGAAAAGGAACAGAAAGAGACTCCTAAAGATGCGTGGACCCGGCAGAAGCCTGGCGCAAAAGATGAGAAACCCAAAGATACCATTTCTCTGAAGAAAACTCCCAAGACACCTAAGGAGGAGGAAAGTGCCCCACCCAGTACAGCCCTAAAGAAAGTTAAAAAATTGCCTTTAGATGAAGTGGAACCAGAAGTAGTCAAACTGAAACCCTTCGAGAAGCCTCTTAAACCAGCAGAGGATCCAGAGAAAGACAAGAAGGAGAGGCCAGAGAAGGACACGTCACCTTTTCAGAAGGGGGAAAGGCTTCCCAGACAGGTGGAAACCACAGAACCTCCAAAGCAATCTGAGAAAGAACCTGTTGAAGTAAAAGAGCCACCAGCCAAGGTGCCAAAACCAGGAGACCAAAAGAAATCTCCAGAGAAGGAGCCTGAAGAGGACAAAAGGCCAAAAAAGGTGAAGAAGATTCCAACAGTGGAACCAGAGATAGAAACAGTCAAGTTGAAGCCCTTTGACAGGCCGGCCAAGCAGGCTACAGAGCCTGAGAAGAAACCCGCAGAGGAGAAAGAAAGGAGGCCAACTGATGATCTGCCAAAACGTCACACAAGTCCAGCTGAGACCCCTGAAGAACGGAAACAACAGGCTAAACCAAAGAAACCTGAGATCCCAGAAGCTCCAGAGAAGAAGCCGGTGAAACCGGAGAAGGTAGATGCAGCTCCCTTGGAAAAGACCATACTTCCTGTTCCAGCCCCTGCTGAGAAACCTGAAAAGGTTCTCGAGGAGAAAAAACCTCTGCCAGTGAAGAAAAAAGTGTTATCAAAGGAAAAAGAGGAAGTATCTCTAAAACCTGTAGAGCAGCTCAAGAAGGTAGAGCTCAAAAAGACTCCATCCCCGAAAGTTGAGAAACTTAAAGAAGCAGAGACAGCTGCAGCTGAGAGAAGGCCAAGTCTCGACAAACTCAAAAAGCTTCCTAAAACTGTTTCACCCAAAGAATCTATTGAGGATGTGACTCTAAAGAAAGTCCCAAAGAAGCCTTTGCAAGAGGAAGCCAAGGTTGCAGAACCGGCAAAGCCTGATGAAGGAAAGGTTCCCTTGGTAAAGGAAGTCTCTCCTGGAGCCGTGGAGATGAAGAAGGTTGCCACTCAGGCAGAGGAGGAAGTATTTGAAGAGGAGTTTGAAGCTGAGAGTGAGGCTGTGCCAGAGGGCGAGGAGGCATGGTGCTGGGAGCTGGTTCCAGATGAGAGTTACGAGCTAGAGGACTGGGAAGGTGAAGCAGAGGAAGGTGCTGTGATGGTTCCAGGGGTGGCCAGGAGAGGTGAGATGGTGGCATCTTCGGTGACAACCAAAAAAGAAAAAACCTGCCATCAATAATATCCACTCATCTTCGCTTCCATAACCTCATTTTCCCTCCATCGTATTTTAAGTGTGATGCGATTTCTTCATCTTTTCCTTAGACTTGTGTCATCATTCCGTGTCCGACTGCCGGTCACGTTTACCGCTTCGTTTCATTTTTGTTATGTCGTTTATGTTTCTGCTATTTGACCATTCTCCATTATGTATTGTCCCCACTCATTGCATTCGTCTTTGTTCTTCCATTTATTTTAATTTTAATGTATTGTCTTCCTCGTGGGGTTTTTGTCGACCTGTGAGTGTCAATACTTCATAAACTTACCATCAGAACCATTTCATAATCCCCAGTCCATTCACTACACTGGATTTCCTTACCGTGGCATGTTTAGCATGATAAGTATGTATGATTAGCCTGTGAGCATAAAATAATTTATATTCTTTCTGAACAGAGGGACAACCAACAGAGGAAGCAGGAAGAGGTAGAGGTAGAGGGCTGAAACGTAAGTTTGATAAAACAATGATGTTCCAGCAAAACCAATGTTGCCGTTTACCCAGAAAGGATTCACAGCGCTTCATTTGTTCACAATTTGTCACATGACAGCATCCAAAATGGATTAAATTCATTGTTCACCTCAAAATCTGAACCCAGTACACTTTAATGACAAAGCCCAGATGTTTACACTGGGACATCGAAACACTGCTGGCAGCCTGCAAACCTCACGTGGACATGCAACGTAATCTGTGTGCATCAGGCTATTCATGCACTCAAAGTTAAGGTTTGGTAAGTTAGCAAGTGAGACCTTATGTGTAGTTTTAGACATCTGTATGCACAGCAAGCTTTTTGAAAGAGAAATTGATTCAATTCGTGAAGCTAAACTTAATAAGTTGTGCATAAATAATCGGTATTTAGTTCTGCTAATGCTAAATGAAATTTAATTTTATTTACATAGCGCCAAATCACAACAAAGGTCGCCTCAAGGCGCTTCATAGATACAGAGAAAAACCCAACAATCATATGACCCCCTATGAGCAAACACTTTGGCGACAGTGGGAAGGAAAAACTCCCTTTTAACAGGAAGAAACCTCCAGCAGAACCAGGCTCAGGGAGGGGCGGGGCCATCTGCTGTGATTGGTTGGGGTGAGAGAAGGAAGACAGGATAAAGACATGCTGTGGAAGAGAGACAGAGGTTAATAACAGATATGATTCAATACAGAGAGGTCTGTTAACACATAGTGAGTGAGAAAAGTGACTGGAAAGGAAAAACTCAATGCATCATGGGAATCCCCGGTAGCCTACATCTATTGCAGCATAATTAAAGGAGGATTCAGGGTCACCTGGTCCAGCCCTAACTATATGCTTTAGCATATAGTTAGGGCTGGACCTAACTATATGTTAGTTAGCATTTAGTCATCATACAGAGATGAGACCACTGTCAGAGGCCATAAGGAGATCATTTGTAACCTTCACTAAAGCTGTTTCTGTGCTGTGATGAGCTCTGAAACCTGACTGAAACTCTTCAAATAAGCCATTCCTCTGCAGATGATCTGTTAGCTGTTTGACAACTACTCCAAATGTCTTTGTGCTCTTGTTTTGTCTTTGTCAAAATAGATTAAATTAATTTGTTACCTCAAAATTTGACACGTAGTACCCAATAGTGACAAAGTAAAAAAGGTCGCTTTGAATTATTCCCATTTGATTCAGATTGAAAAACAAAAACATGTACGTAAGTATTCAGAGCCTTTGCCACGGCACTCAGACTTGAGCTTAGGTGCATCCTGACCACCTCCCAGATGTTTCTTACCACTTCCAGAAGAGCAACCGGGCCTGCATGGTAGATGGTAGCACATGACACCCCACCTGGAGTGCTGTCAGACCACGAGAAACAAAATTCTCTGGTCTGGTGAACAAGACTTTAAACTCTTTGGCCTAAATGCCAAGTGTAATGTCTAGAGGAAGCTAGACCCTCATCACCTGGCCAATGCCATCACTACAGTAAAGCATGGTGGTGGCAGCATCATGCTGGGGGATGTTTTTCAGCAACAGGAGGTGGAGACTAGTCTGGAAAGACAGTACAGAGACATCCTTGATGACAGTTTGCTGCAAAGTGCTCCGGACCTCTGCAGCAAAGGTTCCAACAGGACAACAAGCCACCACACCTGCAGAGATCTGAAAATGGCTGTGAACCACCCAAGTAACCTGAAGAATGGGAGAAACCAAGCTTGTAGCATCATACTCAAAAAACCCCGAGTCTGTATTTGCTGTTAAAGGTGCTTCAACAAAGTATTGAGCATAAATACTTTGATGTAAATTGTTGTGGTTTTTTAAGAAACTTGAGAAACGTTTCTAGCTTTTGTCAGTTTGTCAGTTTTGTGGGTTATTCTGTGTCAAACCTTGAGGTGAAAAAAATGAATCCATTTTGCCGTAACATCACAAAATGTGGGACAAGTAAAGCGCTGTGAATGCTTTACTGATGCAGATACAGATATGATGACGTGAGCATTCTTTTATCAAATGAAATGTGAATTGATGGTCTTCAATTTGTTTATTCAGCTAAGCAGACCCCATCTCCTGGAGAGGGCAGGGGTCGGGGGCTGAGGCCTGGTGGGAAAGGACCGCCACCACCAGAGGAACCTTTTGCAGGGTTCAAGCTCAAAGCTGTCCCGCTGAAGTTCATCAAAAAGCTCCAGAACATTGTTCTGCAGGAAGCCGAGTCTATCGGCTCATCTGCTGTCTTTGAATGTGAGGTCTCACCTTCCACTGCTGTTACTTCTTGGATGAAAGATGATAGTAATCTCCGTGAGAGCCCCAAGCACAAGTTCACTTCGGATGGCAAAGATCGCAAATTGAACATCATTGATGTCCAGCTGTCTGACACTGGGGAATATACGTGCGTGGCCAAGAACGCTGGCAAAGAGATATCTTGCACCGCTAAGCTCATCGTTGAAGGTATAATAATGTTTTGGCAGTCCTGAGATGCACAAAATGTAATCTTTGGAATCCCCTCAAATAATGTGTGATGTCTCTGCTATTTTGTCATGTTAAAGAGCTTCCTGTGAAATGGATCAAAGAACTGGAAGAGGAGACATCAGCAATCAAGGGCCAGCCTGTGTATATGACCTGCGAGCTGAACAAAGAGAGGGATGTGATATGGAAGAGGAATGGTGAGGTCCTCAAGAAAAAGCAGAACAAGATTCAGATCAATATCATTGGTATGCAGCACGCGGTGACCATCCAGAACTCCACGGAGGAGGACGCCGGTGTTTTCTCGTGTGAAGTGGCTGGACAGGAAGACGTTAAGACTTCAACAAATGTCAAAGTGATTGGTGAGCAGAATTAGACGTGCTGCACGCTCCTGCATATCTCAGTACACATTTTTATCAAATTCTGTGGCTTGTTTGTAGTTTGCCTAAACAAACAGAAATATCATAACTAGGGATGCACCGATACCGATACTGGTATCGGTATCGGGGCCGATACTGTAAAATGTGTGTGTGCTCATACTCGTAAAAGTTAACCGATACCA